TCCTTGACACTTCCTGGGACTCCCTGACTCTCCCTAACACCTCCCGAGACTTCCTGACACTTCCCACTGCCACTGCATTCATGGCTCAGGACGAGCGCGAGGATGGGAAACGTGGGTGACAGGCTGTGTGTGAGAGGAGAAAGGAGAGGAGGAGAGCTTCAGGATTTAGGGAATTAAATCTTTGAAAACCGGGAATGGGGGGGGGCTCTTTTGTTGGTTTTTCCTGGGCCTCCCCCTCTCCCCCTGGAGCCCCTGTGAGCGGGTATCCTGCAGCTGTGCCGGACGAGCCCGTCCTCTGCATATCAATGAGCCAGAGGTCCAGCAGCGGGTCGTCCCTAACCGGCTCTCAGGGCTAAGAGGCCACCGACAGTGACAAACATGCTCTACAGCACATATGTAAAACCTATACGCAACTTTCCATCTGCTATGCAATATTTACAACTTATTTTGTACATCAACATTTAAAAAAAACAATTACAATCAGTGGCTAGCCAGGAAATATGTGTGTGAACCCACTTAGAAGAAAAGGTTCTATATAGAACCTTAAAAGGTTCTATCAGTGCTACATATTTGGAACCCCTAAAAGGTTCTATACACTCTTAAAAAAAGGGTTCCTCTGGGTTCTATATAGAACCCCGGGGGTTCCATACTTGGCCAATAGAATCTTTTACAAAAAAAAAAATGGTTCTATATAGAACCATTTTGGAGTTCCATATATGAAGCGGGTGATAGAACCATTTCTGGTTCTAAATAGAACCATTTCTTTTAAGAGTGTGTGTATATATATATATATATTTCTATATGTTATTTATGCATATATTTTCTCAATTCACCCTCCATAGGTGTCAAAATATAAGTTAACTTTGGGCTAGACAGGCCTAAAATAAAACATTAAATATTTAATAATTATCTTTTCGTTGCATATCTAGTGAAGGATTTAATGTGCTTTGATAGTATGAAGTGGTTTCTTGTGCAAAAAAAAAAAAAATACACTAAAATCCAAATTCACTAAATTATAAATAAAAAAAAAATAATAAATTCACTAAAATACATTTTCAAAATCCCTAAAATATTGCAAGGGGAAAATACTTCTGCAACCAGGTCACTGCTGCTCTCTATGTCTCCACATTTAAGAATTTGGCATAAACTTGTTTTTATACGAGTAGAATATGAATTTGCTTTTCTTTCCCATTTAAATCAAATCTGGGAGGCAAATATTCCCCCTCCAGATGAATAAAGTTCATTTCTGCCCGAGCGTCCTGGCACTGCCAACCAGGAGCTTAAACTCTTCCGCAGCTTCTCCATCTTCTTCTGCCTTTCTCCTCCTTTTCTTCCCGTCTTTTGTTGGTCCCGTTTTTCATTGCAGCTGGATCAGAGGGAGCGTTTGGCAGCCACCACTGTTGCCGCTGGGGTGGGTTCTGCCACCGTACAAGAGAAAAGGGGTGAACGGAGGCGCGGGGGGGAGGAGAGGGCTCGGACACTCTTTCTCACGCTCGTAAGAAAGGCTTCACTTCTTCTCGCCGGCCACAGGCACCTGCTGATTACCATAGAGACACTGTGGGAAGTTTTTCCCCCTCCGCTGCTTTTTGTGTTGTAGATTCTTTCCCCCCCTTTTCGTTCCGGTAAACAAGCGCTCCATGGATTAGTTTACTGGGATAGTGCAAAGAAAACAAACAAACAGGAGCGAAAAATTCCAGCGACCCGTACAGATGCTCGCATGAGTCCCGACAGAATGACGTTATTGTTGTGAGATCGTGTCCGGCGCCGTGAAGGACTGTGAGAACATCAGCTTTTGTGACGAGAGACACACAGACAACATTGAGTTCAAGTTTTGTTCTCATTTGATAGTGTGAGTGCAGTCAACTCTAGAACACTAGTAAATACAATCAAACCAAAAATGATTCACACACAAGATATACATTTACTAGTGTGTGCCGGACATTATATTTCAAATATGAAAGTGAGGAGAGCCAAATAAAGTAAACTGTGGCATATTATATCCAATAATTGCCCATACAGTGACTAAGTCAAATTTAGAAAAATTTGGGACAAAAAATTATTCACACTCTTAGAAGAAATGGTTCTATTTAGAACCAGAAATGGTTCCACCCCCTGCTTCATATATGGAACTCCAAAATGGTTCTATATAGAACCTTTTTTTTTTTTTTTTGGTAAAAGGTTCTATTGGCCAAGTATGGAACCCCAGGGTTCTATAGACCATTTCACAAGATGTAAACAACACTGGTCCAGAAGCACTTCCTGTTTCAGTTTTTTAACACTACATAAAAGCTGGGATAAAATACAACCAACAGAACATTTAAAACTGAATCAAAAAAGTTAAACAAACATCTTTAAGATGTTTTCTTTACATGTGAAATAAAGAAAACAGTTACAAACTGAAACAGGAAGTGCTTCTGGACCAGTGTTGTTTACATCTTGTGAAATGGTCTATATAGAACCCAGAGGAACCCTTTTTTTAAGAGTGTATAGAACCTATTAGGGGTTCCAAATATGTAGCGCTGATAGAACCTTTTAAAGTTCTATATAGAACCTTTTCTTCTAAGAGTGCAGACAATTTGAGCTGATCAAGTTTTGCTGAAGTGTGTTTTCTGTAATCGCTAATGCTCTTTTTACACACACAAAAGTGTACTTTTTGAAAAGGTACAGCCCCAGTGACAGCTTTTGTACCTTTTTTTCGGAGAGTGTAGCGAACAAACTGTGATAATATGAGAAATGTTGAAGCTTTCTGAATAAATGTTTGGTTTGACTGTATATTAAGCATCTTTTAAACCTAACTAAGCAAACCCTGTCCACATTACCAGAGAAGTTTCGTATTGATGCTCTGCGTGAAGAAGCCGTAAGATTAATGGTTTGAGCATATACAATGCAAATGTTCTAATGTAAGAAGTCTGTCGTCAAAGTAAGTCGTGATTATGCAGTCAGATGAGACTGAAGCATGTTTTAAAGGTAATTTTCAGCAAATGAAACTGCAGCATAGCAATACTAAAAATCCTGCAAGCTTTTCCGCATAACATCTGGAGTCTCGTATATAAATCTTTGTGTAGATTTCCTCCTAAAAGTGGGTGTATGCAAAAAAAAAGGCAGATTTGTACTTCATTACTCCGCTTACCAGTAAACCAGTGCACACATTTTTATGCCAAATTTATTTTCTATAAATCCCAATATGTGCATGGACAATTACACACGCACGTCAGATCTTCTCAGCGTTATTTTTCACTTTTCAGCTTATTCTGGTCAAGAATTGCTCAATTAGAGAGGAAAAGACTGTCTGATGTCACTAACCCCTCAAACTAGAGACATTCTTTTACTATATTCCTTGGAAATGCTGCCTGGTCTCTTGTATGAGATCAGATATGACTGAAATAAACTCAAGCACTCCTGGAAATGACGTGAAGCCAGATTTATTAGACTAAATAACTAGATAAGGATGATCTGTAGTTCTAAACATTCTCAAAATCGAAGGTTCTAAAATCTATTAAACAAATCTAAAGTTCTATATATCTAATGTTCTAAAATCTTAGATTCTAAAATCTAAGGTTCTAAAAATCTAATGTTCTAAAATCTATTGAACCAATCTAAAGTTCTACAAATCTAATGTTCTAAAATCTAAGATTCTAAAATCAAAGGTTGTAAAAATCTAAGATTCTAAAAGCTAAGATGCTAAAAATATAAGGTTCTAAAATCAAAGGTTCTAAAATCAAAAGTTCGAAAAATCTAATGTTCTAAAATCTAGGATTCTAAAATCGAAGGTTCTAAAAATGTACGATTCTAAAAACTAAGATGCTTAAAATACAAGGTTCTAAAAATATAAGGTTCTATAATCTACGGTTCTAAGAATCTAAGGTTGTAAAAAATCAAAAGTTCTAAAAATATAAGGTTCTATAATCTACGGTTCTAAAATCTAAGGTTCTAAAAATCTGAGACGTAACAGTAAAATGAATCTGTGACACTTCAATGAAATAACCTTTGTACAAGTGTGTAGAATCTGTAGTTCTAAACATCTAAGATTCTAAAATATAAGATGCCCAAAATCGTTCTAAAGGTTCTAAAATCTATTAAACAAATCTAAAGTTCTATATATCTAATGTTCTATCTAAAATCTTGGATTCTAAAATCTAAGATTCTAAAAATCTAATGTTCTAAAATCTATTGAACAAATCTAAAGTTCTATAAATCTAATGTTCTAAAATCTAAGATTCTAAAATCAAAGGTTCTAAAAATCTAAGATTCTAAAAGCTAAGATGCTAAAAATATCAGGTTCTAAAAATATAAGGTTCTAAAATCGAAGGTTCTCAAATCAAAAGTTCGAAAAATCTAATGTTCTAAAATCTAAGATTCTAAAATCAAAGGTTCTAAAAATGTACGATTCTAAAAACTAAGATGCTTAAAATACAAGTTTCTAAAAATATAAGGTTCTATAATCTACGGTTCTAAAATCTAAGGTTCTAAAAATCAAAAGTTCTAAAAATATAAGGTTCTAAAAATATAAGGTTCTATAATCTACGGTTCTAAAATCTAAGGTTCTAAACATCAAAAGTTCTAAAAATCTCATGTTCTAAAATCTAAGATTCTAAAATCTAAGGTTCTAAAAATCTAAGATTCTAAAAACAAGGATGCAAAAAATATAAGGTTCTAAAAATATAAGGTTCTAAAAAAATCAAAAGTTCTAAAAATATAAGGTTCTACAATCTACAGTTCTAAAATCTAAGGTTCTAAAAATCTGAGACGTAACAGTAAAATGAATCTGTGACACTTCAATGAAATACCCTTTGTACAAGTGCGTAGTAGACTGTTGTGCAAGTTTACTCGTATATCTTTACTCATATTATCTAAATATAAAAGCAACAGCACTCTCTCACCCACTTGACAAACACATTCTGAAACAACAGCGACTCTAACAGCTGAAGATATGTTTATGATGGATGACAGAGGCGGGCGAGACCACAGCGATCAGAAACACGGGGAACGCCAGCAGACGCGTGAAAGAGTGGAAAGAAAGTGGAGAGAATGAACAGGAGAAGAGGAAAGCAGAGAGAAAAATGGGCCGGACGAGCAGCACAATTGCAGAGCAGGAGGTTTCGGCACAGAAAAGTAAGCACACAGCGGGCAGATACGCAGACAGAAGCAGACCCTGCTGGCGCACACACACACACACGCTGACAGCTGCACTCTGGTAATTTACATCTCTCCAGCACATTTAGCAGGAGCCTGTCTGCCATCACCCGCAGCACCGGGACCTGCTGGCCCCCAGACAGAGAGAGAGTGAGATCCACCAGGGAACCGGGGAACCGTGATCCGACGCTCGTCCAGCCAGAGACCCGGCGCTGATGTGCCTCAGCTGTCACCCTCCGACAGTGATGGAGAGAGAGTCAGAGGAGAGGAGAGGCGTGGTGTCGCACTGGGAAAGCTCCGCTAATCTAATGAGAAATTATCTTTTATGCTTTATGAGTATTTCGTGGTACGCACAGGAATTAGTGTGCTTGCTTTGAAGTGTACGAGAAAAATCTAAAATTAAATAATCAAATGAGAAATAACTACATGGTTGCTTTAAAAAACAAATTTCATGTTAAATCACCAGGAAAAAAATGATATAGCTTAATGTATGCTATGCATCAAAGGTTTGAAGTCAGTAAAAAATTTCAGTAAAAAAAAAGTATTTTACAGCAAGTATGGAATAAACTGATTAAAAGTTGCAACCAAAAAAAAAAAAAAAACCACTCACAAGCAACATAGCTACATGGCAACCAAATAGAAACACCCAGGCAATCATATAGAACACTCTAGTATCATCCTAGCAACAACATAGCAACACTCATAGCACTATAGCATCATAGCAACACCCTGGCAACCATTCAAAATATTCTAGCATCATAGAAACCACACAGCGGCACACTAGCATCATACTAACACTCTAGCAACCTCAATAGCAACACTTTGGCAACCACTCAAAACACTCCAGAATCATAGTAACACTAGCAATCAGAGAGCAACACAGTGACAACCATTTACAACACATTAGCATCATATTAGTAACACTCTGTAGCAACCACTCAAAACATTCTAGCATCACCCTAGACGCCACATAGCAACAGCCTGGCAACCACTCACAACACTCTAACATCATAGTAACACTCTAGCAACCACTCAAAACTTTAGAGTGTCCAAGAAACCATAAGGTTACACACTAGCATCATACTAACAATCTAGCAATCAGATAGCAACACCCTGACAACCACTCACAAGACTGTAGCATTTGGTAAACATTCAAAACATTCTAGCATCATCCTAGAAAACACGTAGCAACAGCCAGGCAACCACTCACATCACTGCATCACAGTAACAATCTAGAAACTACTAAAACATTCTATCATCGTAGAACAACCACTCACAACAACACTCATGTATCCAAGCAACCACATAGCAACACCCAGGCAACCATTCACAACAGTCATGCATAACCCTAGCAACTATATACCAACACCCAGGCAACCACTCACAACACTCATGCATCATTTTAGCAACTATATAGCAACACCCAGGCAACCACTCACAACAGTCATGCATAACCCTAGCAACTATATAGCAACACCCAGGCAACCACTCACAACACTCATGCATCACCCTAGCAACTATATAGCAACACACAGGCAACCACTCACAACAGTCATGCATAACCCTAGCAGCAACTATATAGCAACACCCAGGCAACCACTCACAACACTCATGCATCATCCTAGCAACCACATAGCAACACCCAGGCAACCACTCTCAACAGTCATGCATAACCCTAGCAACTATATAGCAACACCCAGGCAACCACTCACAACAGTCATGCATAACCCTAGCAACTATATAGTAACACCCAGGCAACCACTCACAACAGTCATGCATAACCCTAGCAACTATATACCAACACCCAGGCAACCACTCACAACAGTCATGCATCATTTTAGCAACTATATAGCAACACCCAGACAACCACTCACAACACTCATGCATTATTTTAGCAACTATATACCAACACCCAGGCAACCACTCACAACACTCATGCATCATCCTAGCAACCACATAGCAACACCCAGACAACCACTCACAACAGTCATGCATAATCCTAGCAACCACACAGAAACACCCAGGCAACCACACACAACAGTCATGCATCATCCTAGCAACCACATAGCAACACCCAGGCAACCACTCACAACAGTCATGCATAACCCTAGCAACCACACAGAAACACCCAGGCAACCACACACAACAGTCATGCATCATCCTAGCAACCACACAGAAACACCCAGGCAACCACACACAACAGTCATGCATCATCCTAGCAACCACATAGCAACACCCAGACAACCACTCACAACAGTCATGCATTATTTTAGCAACTATATACCAACACCCAGGCAACCACTCACAACACTCATGCATCATCCTAGCAACCTCATAGCAACACCCAGGCAGCCACTCACAACACTCATGCATCATCCTAGCAACCACATAGCAACACCCAGGCAACCACTCACAACACTCATGCATCATCCTAGCAACCACATAGCAACACCCAGGCAACCACTCACAACACTCATGCATCATCCTAGCAACCACATAGCAACACCCAGGCAACCACTCACAACACTCATGCATCATCCTAGCAACCACATAGCAACACCCAGGCAACCACTCACAACAGTCATGCATCATCCTAGCAACCACACAGCAACACCCAGGCAACCACACACAACAGTCATGCATCATCCTAGCAACCACATAGCAACACCCAGACAACCACTCACAACAGTCATGCATTATTTTAGCAACTATATACCAACACCCAGGCAACCACTCACAACAGTCATGCATCATCCTAGCAACCACATAGCAACACCCAGGCAACCACTCACAACAGTCATGCATCATCCTAGCAACCACATAGCAACACCCAGGCAACCACTCACAACAGTCATGCATCATCCTAGCAACCACATAGCAACACCCAGGCAACCACTCACAACACTCATGCATCATCCTAGCAACCACACAGCAACACCCAGGTTGCACTACTATGAAAATGTTATCTAGTTTTGCATGAATTTCAAAAAGTATCTTTATCCAGTAAATAAACTTTACTTGATTTCCCTTCATTAGTCTAAGAAGGGGCCGTTTCCTCTTCACTCCAGATAATGGAGAGTTTGACTGGTGCATCAGGCCTCAGTCTCACTGGCCTTCGCTGAGCTCATGGCCTTGATGTTCTCATGCTTTGATGTTTCGTGATGTCCTCACTTGGCAGAAAACAGTGCATTTTTGGCTTTATAAAACATAGCCTCTTTACGTTTGTTGGAATGAATCAGACGAGTGCATGACGTCAATCCACTCCAGATGCTGAAACCGCTGAGCTCTGACAGACAAAACAGACCTACAGCACGTCTGAAACACATCTGACAGATTCACCAGCACTTAAAGTAATGGACATTTATTGCTTTCTTAATACATGCTTTTGGTCTTTCGGCAGTGCACATTATTCTGTTATATCAAAAGATTATGAAGACAAACATGCATTTCTTTAGATGCATTCAGAATAGGAACAGGAACTTGAATTACCAAAGTGCATTTAGATTTTAGGCTGGTACAAAGAAAAGGAGGAACAAAGAAATGCCAGTTTCCTACACATGAACAACACATGACTAATTGATACAGAATCGAGAGGCTAATTAAGTTTCGCTGAAGGCAACAAAAGCACAAGTTGTTCTCAGATCAGGGAATCTAGAATGTGACCTTCTCCGGTGCAGGGATTGTAAGGTCGATGCCGTTTGAGTTTTCAGTGGCTGGAGAACTAAATACAGACTAAAACAAATGAAAGAAATCCCTCGGCTGCTGCTGTTAAACTATATTTATAGACAAGTGCACAATGACCTGGATTCAGAGGAACCATCGCTGAGATGAAAACGCCACGCTTCAGAAATCTGTCACTTCCAGCAAACAACATGCAACAGAAATGCTTTTGCTTCTCTCTGATAACATGCAAACGGCAGATGATTTTATGCAAAGCGACTTGAAAGTATATTTTTGATCATTTGTTCATGCATTGCCTGGGAATCAAACCCATAACCTTGGTGTCGCGAGAGAGGCTTTGAGCTATCAGGAAAGTTATGCATTAAAGTTCATTTGAACAACTTTTGAAAGCTCCTGTATTCACAGTTTTCTTGTTCATGAAAAGAGCATCTCTTCTTGTGTACGGGGCGAGTAAATGATAACAATACATTTCAGGGTAACTTTAGATCTTATTTAGATAATTAAACTGTGGACATGTTTTATCAAAATGGTCTTGAAGGAATCACAAAGGGTTTGGTTGAGCTAATTTATACTATAAATACATAAATACTTTATGATACGAACAACGTTTGCATTTCTATGCAACATGCAGATTTGTTTTCCATGTTTAAAGATTCTTAAATCAAGATACATTTACTGATTCACAAGCATGCAACAAATACTCCGGCGTTTTGACTAACTTAAACACCTCTGATTGGCCACTGAGTTCAAGAAATCAACACATATGGCTGTGATTGGCTATATTGCTCAACGCTGAAAAACACTGTAAATAGAAACCTTTGATGGCGCAAACAGATACGCCAAATATGTTTCGCCAGATCAGATAGACCCTAAACGACGACTTACATCAAGTTTGTGCTTAAAGTCCCCCTGTAGTCAATCATTTTATCCCTTAAAACTCATCTTTGATCATCAAAATTACATGTAAACGTTTTTTTTTCCTTGAAGAAAATGACTTGATGCCTTAAAATATTTTGAATGTAACTCGACACCCTTGCCTCATTTAGTATGCACGGTTCTATGAATATGCAAATGAGCCCCGCCTCCACTCACACACTCAGACGATCACACGTTGATCTGGTTTCAAGGTGGTTTGTGACGTCAGAAACCGTGTTTTTGAGACTGTCTTTGGTTCACTGCAGTTTTAAGGAGAAAATATTCAGCAATGCTGTCCACTTATCAACTTACACACGGTGTGTGTTATTAAAAACACCACATAGACACATAAACAATAGGGCTGGGTATTGACACAAATTTCACAATTCGATTCGATTTCGATTCACAAGCTTGCGATTCGATTCCGATTTGATTCAATATTGATTATTTTTGATATCAGTTACAATAGATGACAAATTTTCTCAAGGGAATCAAATCTCTTAACTAATGCTGTAAACTATGGGAGTCTAGTTGTAGCCTATAGGCTTCATTAGCCTAATATGAAGGTAATAATTAACTGTTTTGTAGCTATACAAACACTTAAATTACACTTTTTTATTTATTTTTATAATAAGAAGATCATATGAAATATAAACATTTAAATAGTGGCTGTCATAAAAACTTGCCAGATTTATTCAAATATGCATTAAATATTGAAGAGCATTAAGATTATAATGCATATGTAATATAGTGTATATATTTAGCAAAATGCTTCTCTCTAGAGTTATTTTTTAGCTGACTAACGAGTTTATGTGGGTTTTCTGAGGTAAATATGACGATACATGACATTGATTACAAGCTGTTTAACTGACGTCTTTCCACGGTTGAAACGCTGATTGAGTGAATCAATGTGACATGATCCGGATTTGGATAAGTTGTACTCTATCTTTAACACACTTTCAGATGCTCATTCATGTTTATTTGGCGCTGTGACTGGTATTATTA